TTGCATGGGTCCTGGGGACCAACTCACGCAGATGTGCATACATCAAACATCGTCTTCACACTCAATGGACACAGTTACCACACACGAGACAAAGGTAGATGAGAATAGGACCAAGACCCGTCACTTATATTATCAAAAATTATGATTACAATGAGTTCACAGTTCCCTGAGTCAACGCGCTTCAGCGCAATACCAATCCCACATCAGATACATCAATGCCACCTTCGTCACTTGCTTCTAACTCAGGTAAGTGTCCTCCATAACCAGACCTTGAAAGAACACTCTCTCTGTCTCAGTCCCTTCCTCTCTCGATGCATACACACTCTTCTCTCACGAGGATCTACTCTGAATGTCACTCATAGCTATCTACACTAACCCTGCTAAGTCTACACTAATCTGCTGGGCAGCGATGGCTGCTTCCCTCCAGCGCCCAGCCTTTTCTCCTCCTTTAGCGCATCTCCTTCCTCCAGCGCTGCTCCTGCCTGACTAACGTACAAGTGCACCAGCACTTCCACGTATTGAATGCCAGAGGAGATCTGCCGTGGAATGAGGCTGGCTGCTCCTTAAGTAGTGCTGGCCTCTCCACGTTGGGTCTGCATTGGCTCAGTTCGGCCTGTCCTTTTGTCCCAGACCCTGCATTGCATGTGTCCCAGAGCACTCCCAATGAAAAGCAATTGCTGTTGAGGCCTCACGGCCCGAATCTGAATTTAGAAGTCTGGATCTGGACTGCCCCTACGACTCAGACCAGCCACTGGGACATAACTGTTGACTTTCTTTTGAAAGGTCACATCTTAGACGAACAGACACCAGCTTTGTACATACAGACACAACCTTTCCTCTGTTCACGAACAGGCACAATGGCTACTCGTACAGACACACCTTATTCATGACCTACACAACTGCTGACGAACAGGTAAGTCTTTTGACAATGCCCTTTGCTTCAGGATGTGCCCGTTGGTAAAGAACTTTGACCTGCTTTTCACGTTTCTGAGCCCTGGCGAGATACCTTTTCAGGCTGCTTTACTTTTACATGGCCCACGTTGCTTAGTTACAAGGCCTGAGGCCTGCATTGGGTGAAAAAGGCCCTTTCAACATGCATGCATGTAGACATTTACTTGGGTGGGAGCATGCACATATGCATATCCACATGTAAGGCTGTGTGGGGAGGTCGCAGATTGGGGTGACAAGGGGCCATGCAGTACCTGAGTGGATCTTCCCCATCCACCTGGCTGCCCCTCCCCCTTCCTTTCCCAATTTCTTTTTACGAAAAGGGGCCCTAATAGGACTGGCATGAGAGGAGGGGGAAGAGGACGGAGGAGGAAAGAAACTCACCAGTGAGAGAGGACGAAGGTAACCGATCCGTCGGAGAGGGAAGATCGAAGCCCCCAAGCGGAGAGTCCAACTGGAAATCTCGGATGTGCGGCACAGGCTTGGGGGGAGGTGGAGAGGCCTCCACCAAAAACCGAGGAAGGAACTGATGCACAGAACTCGTGAGAGGCGACGTGGTACTATTAGGTCCACCCCTCATGCCACAAGAAAGCTGTCGTGAGCCACAAATGTCTAAGTAGTTGTCCGAGACGAAAAGACTTTGCTCTTCTGCCATGGCTGCGATAAACTTCAAGTCTTCAACTGATTTGTTTTGTGCAAACAACGCTTGCTTCACAGAGCTAGAGTCCAAACAAAACTGCTTTCGCTCGCTATTTAGTATTTACAAGAACAGGAGCACACACACAACGACTGCTGCTGCAATTTGCTCCGAAGATGCCGCATGTCTATTCCGAGACTTTGACAAACATTCTTGCTGTGCCAGTTCCTCACTCAGTCTGACAGTCTTTTGCACAGCGGCACCGTGTCCTTGGATTGCAACAGGATTTTGTAAACGGATCTTGCAGCGGATTCAACCGTGCTCTGAAACCGCTGTCCAACCCCACTTCGAACGCAGACTATGCAGAAACATCTTACCAATAGGACGAAGTAAGAAAGACAAAAGGAAGGTCAGGTACCTTGAAGTTCCCCTTTGGAACCGTCCAACACAGCGTCAATCAATTCCTTCGGAGCAAAAACAAAATGTGCACTTCAGGGTACCATACGGCAGACAACATCACAATCATCAGTGGTGTTCCCTTGGAATGCTTCGCGCTTCACGATCTTCTCGCCCTGGACGACTGAACTGCGTTGAAAAGGCTCAAGACGGCCAACAAAGCTCAACTTGCTTTGGAGAAAACACAGCTGCGTTCTTTATGTTATTCTCTCCTTCCCGAACAGCTCCGGCAAACGCACATCTGCACTAAACAAAGGCATGTGCAAGAAACCTGCTGCCCCGTGAGAACTCTACTCATTATAAACACGAACTCGGAGTCAAGACCCGCATGCATGAGGAGACCAAAAACCAGAATAGACAAGGCTGAGATCAAAGCAATGCAAGAGTGCACGCACTGAAGTCTCGTTATTATGAAACTCCGATTACGAAAGCCCCCTTTTTCTTTTCCTCTCTTCCAGCCAGCTTAAGTTGGTAATCCGCATTCCCAGCCAGAGTTTCCCCACAACAAGGCAAGCCTACACCTCGCTTTTGCACCCAAGTTCTTAGCAAATGCCCTAAATTAAATTCATCCCCCAAATCAGCTCCCGCTAGCTGAGTTTATACTAGTGAAGCATGAAGCTTGGCTGCTAGCCGACGGTCGAGGGCTATTGGTGCTATGTCTGTGGTCAGGAACTATGAACCAGGTCATGACAACGGTCAGGTTCGAGTTTTTGAAAGACAAACATCGACCCGGTAGAATGGCCACGCCCCATTTGCGATATGTTCATGCTTAGAAAACATGAACTCGGTCATAATAGTGGCCAGGTTTGTGCAAGTGTGGCGTATATGATATACCACTAGTGGTGCCTTGCTCTCTGTTTCCAATTGATTCCCGGAACAATCGCCTGGTACATTCCAAGTTCATGACCCTCATTAACTTCTTTGCCACATTGTTATTTACATTCCTACGGATGTTTGCTCCTAGTAGTTGCCCTTCCGCTGAAACTCGTAGTGAACCAAGTAAGAAACAAAAAGACAAAGTTAATACTTAACAGTCAAGTATGTAGCCTCGACTGGGGCATGCCCCAAAATGCCAAATTAAACCACCAAGTACTTCCAAAGAGAGCGGCGCTTTAACGGAAATCGCTACAGTACCGTTTCAAATAAATAGACTATATAGTATATAGTATATAGTATATAGCCCGGCACAGCAGGCCCATTCATCCCAGCACTTCCAGGTGCGTTTGCGGCCGCGCTTTCGAGCAGTACTGGTGGTTTAAGACATAACACAAACACTCAAAGAAAAGAGAACCCACTTGGGTCGGTCCTCCTCGAGATTATTTTGAGTCATGGTTGGCAGTGATTGGGCCAAGAAGCGGGCTAAGATGATGCAGGATCATGACAGATTTGACAGCAGCCAAGCACAAGTCTACGATGCAATATGGCAGGTTTTACGGCAGCAAGGATGTGGAACATTCTGGACAAGCAGCAGGCTTTCTGCTGTGCGATAACTGTGGGTTTCTCGCTGGAGACTTATTGGCCCCCCTAGCCCGGGCTATCCGTCTGGGGCACATTCTGGTAGATGAAATCGATTACAGTGTAGCGTCGACACACGTAGAAGAGTAGTGACACAGCACTCTACGTCCAATCATAGACAAGGTTCCGTACAACATCAATCGCCAAATCACTGGTGAAAAAGTGCACGGCTAATACGACAACACGTGTCTTCGGAAACAACATCGTCAAAGGTAAGGGTTATTTTATCCTCTCGCTTATTCCAGCTTGCCACTCCAGAACAGTTCACATGTGCCTTCTTCAGGTAGGTGAAATCAAATACAAGAGAAGCATTAACAAACTCAGAAGAGTGGTAACACAGCACTCGAAATGCAATCATAGACAAGGTTCCATATAACAGCAATCGCCAAATCACTGGCGAAAAAGTGCACGGCTAATATGTCCGCACTTGTCTTCGGAAACAACGTATGGTTATGTCATGCTCACTTATTCTGGCCAGGAATGGACAGTATTACAGTAATGCCTGATTTTGAGCTTATCAGTAGTTGCCAAGCCCCTGCCAGTGAGAGACAAGCCTGACGTGCTGATTAGACTGAGTGGGGTAACAGATTGAATCTAGATATCAATGATATGCATGCGCGAGACGATGAACCCTCTGCACACCGGGTGGTTTGGTGGTGATCTGGTGATAATCCCCCTGAGTTTTTGTGGGAGCAAGGTGATATGGTATGTCATTGATTGTATTGTATATACTGCACCATCATACGCACGATACGTGTACGTGATCTTTGCCAATCATGATGTTTATTGAATGAAATTAGTGCAGGATCGGTAACTTCAGAAACAAGATGATGTTTGCTTACTCGGGTCGATTTAGTGCAGCGGCCCCGAAACTTGTCCCCACCCTGCGGCCGAAAACTCACTTTTTGGAAACTTGTCGCGGTTTCCATAAAGTTGAGCGGAACCTAAGGGAAGTCGTGCCACAGATTTTTAATAAACCATCTACCTTTCCAAACGACTCCCACTGCACCAGCTATGCATGTGATGGTTTTGTGACTGTTGAAACATCATTCCCAAGCTCTCGCTACTTGGTGTTTTTGCCCTATAATGACCTCTCACTGGTATTCCTTGGGCTGCTGAGTCCGATGCTTGGTCAGGGTCAAGCTTCGGGAACCTTGTATCCAAGTGTCCGGAAGAACACACATCGCGCAGAGGAGGACTTTGAAGGAAAACAAGTGCATCAGCATCGGTCCACAACAGATTCCAACAGTGCAAAATGCCTAAGTGCACCCTCGGCGCAGACCCCAGCACCTTTTCATTGTGGAAAGCGCAAGCTGGGATGACGTCGCAATAATCAGTACTAAACACATCTATTGTGCCTAAAGGGCTTCTCATGCCAATCACCAATTACCTCCTAATTCCCGATCTTGGATGCCCACTCTCCGGGCATGAGAGATAAGTCCATCTCTGAGTAACCTCGATCTTTTTGTTTGAAAATGTAGTTACTAAAAATATTCATGTTTTCCGCCCTTTCCCTTTTTATTCATGTTTTCCGCCCTTTCTCTTTCTATTCATGTTTTCCGCCCTAAGCTGTTGCTTTTTACGATTTTATCATGCCGGTTTCATGCATCACCCTCAGTCCTTGTGTGAAAGGGAAACTTCAGAAGTACTATCTGCCGATACACTGAGATTCCAGTTCCGGCCGGGGACGGTCACCCCCAAAAAGTTCCCAAACCCTATAATTCGAAAAACCCTCAGCACACCCCCTTCTGGCAGTGTCGGGCCATAGCCTAAGACTTCGATCAGAAAACAGTGCTGGACACGAGGTTGTTCGTCACAGGCCCAGCTGAAAACAGCAAAAGGGCCCCGTGAAAAAAACAACAACGACAAATAAAAGCCCCTCCAGCATGTCCTAACATTGCGGCCTCCCAAGATATCCCGAAACCAGTTTCGTCCCAAGTTCCCAACCAGGTCCTAGCAAGAGCCTGCAAGGATTGACGGGTCAGGTCCAGCCAAGTTGAGAACCGGATTGAGTCTCTCCTACTCCCTCGTCATTTGGGAGGGACGGAACGCGGCGCGGCGCGACCAGGAGCGCCGCACCGTTCTGCTATCGACATGGGCCGGTTCGTGAGTTGGTGGCACCTTGTCGGCACGGCTCCCTGCGAGGGAATATCCAGGAGTTGATGTGGGCAATGGGGGGTACGGCGGCAGGCGATGGCGCGAGGTTCCGTTGGTGTTTGTCGGGCGCGGTCATCGACGTGATGCTTCGGCTGAGGGTTCTTCCAGCCTTGATAACCTAGGCTGAAGTTTCCCTTGTCTGGCGGGTCAGGTCCGGAGGTGGTGGTGGTTTAGACCACCAGTACATGGCCCCAGCCAAGTTGAGAATCCGATTGAGTCTCTCCTAAAACCTTTGGAGGCTCGAGACAGGGCGTCCCAAGGGCCAGTAGAAAAAAAAAATGGTCCCATGCTGTGGAGTGGCACTGGCCCATCCCTAAACAAAACAAAATTATGCCCGGCCCCAGGAGGGCCGTCCTGAGTCCCCTAACTTTTCAGAGAGGCTCATTCGAATTCTCCAGATGTACTGGTGGTGCCATCCTTGATGAGATGGCATCACACTCTCCCATGGGAGGACACAGTAAAGGAACCTATGCCACAAAATCACCCATACATAGGGCATACTCACACAAGGACGTTTTCTACTTAGCTCTGGACGTGATTGCAGTCAGATTCATCCACATACGGTCGTAATTGCAATCATATATACATTTAGGAAAGAGGTAGTGTGAGTATGCCCTTAAATTAATTTGATTCCAGGCAGCTGTTTTAATAGAAAAATGTATTGTGCTATTGGCCTCCTCGCGGTTTACCCATGTAGGCTTGGATGTGCAAATTATGCACTTGGGCACCTGCACGTCTAGGTGCATTCTGACGTGACAACTTTGTATTTGCAAACTGTGGAGCAGGCTTTATTAGCTTTTCCCCACCCCAAAAAAGAATGGTCCCCTTACCAACTGTCCAACTAGCTCAGTTGGTACACCCCCCCTGGACTGAACTGTTAGAAATACAGACCTGAGTTCGAACTCCAGTGGAAGCAGATGCGTGAAATACGACAATTCTGCATTACCTAGGGCCAGTCAGATCGATGATTATCTCAATGCCGTCTCCTTTTCACAGTGTCACACACAAATTAAAAAAAAGAATGGTCCCCTTGTCTTAATGTGAAAGGGATAGGGACTGGGCTAGCTCCACCACAAAATGGGCAAGTACCAAACGACCCCGAACACAGCTGAGTCAGACCCTCATCATGCCTGTATTGGATTCGAAATTCTGCTTGTATGCATTCATGATGTGTTTCGAGGAAGACGGTAGTGCCCTGCCCCTCCCACCACCAAGAAAGAGAGGGTAGCAAGCCTGGGTCTCAAAGAGGTCAGACCTGGCGGGCTGCAGAAATGCGATCTGGGCTTCAAAACTCAGAAGGCACGTTACTGATTTGCACTTTTAGACCACGCGGCTGCACAACGGGACTGCAGGTCGTTTTGGCCCACTGGGGTGAATAGGCTGGCGGCCCCCCTAGGCCCGACCTCGTGACAGGTCAGACGTTCAGGATTGGGTGGAAAATAAGGTTCAAGAATTTTGCTTTGCGTGGAATGGTGGCTCAAGTGCGCAATTTCTAAACTATTCACCACCTTCACATCAGATTCTCACCCCCACTAAAACAAAGTCCACACCTATCTGGCCCAACATGCACATCAATTTCAGCACTGATTCAGCACAACTTTGTGGCACTTGGCGTTTGCTTGCTATGGACTAGCTAGGGATTCCAAAACACAGTCAGGCTGAGCTGGATCAGCGTGCGCTAGTCAGCGGCGGTTTCCCGGCTCTAAAGAAGCTGAGACATTGGGTGTCGCTCCACTATACAACACACTACATGCATTTGGACTCTTTCAGGACCAGGTGCGCTCGGATAACAACATGATTTTTGAATGTATCGGGTCCAGAAAGAGTCGAAATGCATGTAGAGTGTTGTGTAGTGCAGCAGCCGGCCCCATCGGGCTTAGATAGACAACACGAGGAATTCATTTCCTTGTTGTACTTAAGAAATTCTTCATTGGGCTGATGACAACTCGCAGGCAGGCTCATCAGGATCATATCTGCATGCTGAATCTACTACTCCATTGATTCTGCCCTACTACCATCTTCGCTCGAATACAACACATACGATTATTATAGCCTTATACTATAGTCTCGATACAGCAATAATTAGCCGACGTTGTATTCCGGTGAAGACGGTACTCAAAACTGTGCTCTCCTACCGATGGGCATGAAGCTTAAACCACCAGTAGTACTTGGCCCATACGTCGGCCATGTGCCCCTCCTTTAACGCTGCCCGCCTTTCGGGCCTCGGGAACCAGAGCAAAATGGCTGGCGTCCCCAGCCAAAAGAAAGTTACCCGGGTTTTGGCTTTCTTTGGATTGCAACGCGTTTCCAGCATCTGATTCTGAATCAGAGAAAAGTGCCTCACAAGTGGTGCCACTGGTTGGGACGGCCATGAACGCGGAAGCCAAATCGGCCTCAGGCTGCCCCTTTGTTCCAAATTCATACGAGGCCGGGGGATACAAAACATGCGGTAGGTACTGGTGGTTTAAACCGCTACTTGCGTGAGACAAAGCCGGGCAGCACCTCAGGGCCACACTTTACATCTTCCAGCCTGAGGATGGTACCCCCACAAAATGGCCAGTCTGTGCAGTGGGACCTTCCTGCAGCGGCAGTAGGGAGGAGGGTGGTAACCAGTCCTTTCACCGTTGGCATGCCTGGGGCCAAGCCCCACGTACACCAATTCTTTTTTGTTTGTTTGTTTGTTTGTTTGTTTGTTTGTTTGTTTGTTTGTTTGAAGCCCAGCCTGAGGGTGTTGTAGAGGCCAAGGACAAGACCCGCGGTGATTGCTGGCAGCGGCAGCCAATGGTTGTCCTGACAGGATAGGCCACCTACCCTACCCCTCCCCACGATAACACTCCCAGCACAACCTCGTCCCGACTATCCTACCTCAGCCTGAGCTTGACCATCACTCAGGAGTCAGGACCATTGCCCACTTACACCAATTCTTCACTTCTGGCCATCTATTTTTTAAAACAAGGGCCCTACCTCCTCTAAGACTTCTCTTTCACCACGGCAAAAGGGGTGCACTGGACTGAATCTCATTTTCTCTAAGACTTGCAGTTTTCCTTCTTTTCAGTGAAATCAACTTTTAAACCACCAGTACTTCGGAGGCACTTTTCTCCAAAAAAACGGCTGGAAGCCTGGAAACGCACTGCGTGCCAAAAAATACCAACCACCATGGGCCTCTTTTTGGCTAGCGCCGCCAGCCATTTCGCTCCGGCAGCCGAGGCCCGAAAGTTGTGGCAGCATGCAAGCCGCAGCAGTTACTTCGAAAAACCGGCTGGGAAACATTCCGCAACCTAAAGGTCGCAGGCACCTTGCTCTTGCTCTTGCTGTTTCCATCTTTTTTTCTCTTTTTTTTTTAATGGGTTGCTGTTTCCGTCTTTTTCGTAATATAGCCACCGCTCCCCTCTTCCCCCCCTTCCCCTCCCCCTACAGTAGTGCATGTGCTGGCCGCGGAACAGGTCATACTGCCAGTTGTGGACTGCACCTACTTTGGCAATTTTCCATGCTCAGAATTATTGCCATTCTGAAAATGGCCCCCATCTTGTGGCGGCTATGCCGCAATTGAGGAGGTTCGTTTCTGGTTTCCAGTATCTTTGGACATCATGGTCTCGGACTGTGGCCGTGAGATTTCCAAATCGGATGGCAGAGACCCATGATGTATAGTCTAAGCCAGAACTAAACCTCAGCAAACCAGTGTGTGTACTCTAAACCAGAAGTAAACCAGAAGTAAACCAGAAGTAAACCAAAAGCAAACCAGAAGTAAACCTCCGCAAGTGGGGCACTGCCTCCATAGAGTGCACCAACATTGGCCATTTTTCACACTCAGAATATGGGCGTTGTTCGACACTCCTCGGGGACGCGATTTCGAGGATTTCGTCATCGTTCCACCTGTCCTCGGAGCCGATTTTCAGAACAGAAATGTGAAAACACTCCGAGGACAAATCCTCGGGCTTCGAGGATTTCCCAGCCAAATCGTCCTCGGGTTCAAGGGACCTCGCGAGGTCCTTTGGAGCCCGAGGATCCGCGATTATCGGGGTGTCGGCGGCGGCCACCGAAGGGGCAACTGAGGTCGAAAGTGGTCCAGAGGAGGTCCGGAAGGCGGAAGACGGACATCCCGAGGCGTGGGCGTCCAAAACGTCGAGTAACGGCCTCCTCGTTTTACCGTTGGCGGTGATCGTCGCGGGACGGCCGTGTCGGTTCGTCGGGTGTCCCGGCGGAGGTGCAGTGGCGAGCATCGGACGTCTTCGGCCGGCTCCTGCAGTGGTCGGGCCGTTCCCGCGTGCTCCACAACGGTCGAAAAATACGTATTTTGTAAGCGCCCTCCTGCAGCCAGCTTCGAGATTGCATGAATTTCATTCGTTGGCGTCTTCCCTCTCGCACCGTTTGTCTCCGTTCGCCGCGCTTGCCACAGCGCGAGTGCGTCTTTTGTTTCTGCTTCCCTGTCGTTCATGGCAGACCTGTACCGCAGGCTGCCTTTGCTAGTGCTCGCCGTTGTGCTGCTGCTTGCCGTTGTCGTCTTCCATATTTGCTGCCTCGTGCGCGTTCCAGGGAGGAAACAGATGCGGCGAACGTCGAAGACGGCCAGGAAGATGGAGAGGGTACAGACGAGGACCACGCTGTCCGTTGGGGCTGCGGGGTCATCACGTCAGCGCTGCAGAAGTGCGGAAGCAGTCAGGCGTCCGTACGACCTCGCATTGTACAGCCACCTGCCGTCCCACGAGATACCGTTGCCTCCAAGTGACGATGACGGCGACGACCCACGATGTTCTACCCTTCCTCTGGGCAGCGGTTCGACTCAGGATTGGATGGGGAGCCAGCTGCACAGGCAGGCATCGACGCCGACGTACACTGATCTGCTGGAGGGGCATACCCCGGCTGGTTATGACGCAGGACTGGTGATTATCAGCTTCGGATTGAGGTCCGGGAGTGCCGAGGAGGTGACGCGCACCGTTATCGTGAACCCAGGTTCGGGCAGAACCCGCACACCGGCTCCAGTGACAACGCGGACTGGCGGATCAGTTCCTTGTAGAACGGCGACGGCAGGTGGCACAAGGGATGGACGACGCCCAAACGAAGAGTGGTTAGCAACGGAGGTCGTTGGTCGAAAGTTTTGGGATGATCATCGGCGACAATCGCGTGAAGCGAGCACGGCCGGCATAACGAGAGGGGTGGCGAAGATTACCGTGGGGGCGGACGATATATTAGGCGATGAAGATGGTGCAGTTGCGGAGGATTGCGAGGCGGACGACGGGGCCGGTGGCGACGACGAGGAGGACGACGAGGAGATGGAGATTCGTCCAGTAGGGAGAAAGCGGGGAGGGTCGAGGGCCGCGAAAAAGTTCCCGGAAACGCAAACGAGGCGGAGGGGGAAGAAGGGTGTGGAAGATGGGTCGGCTGGCGAGGGATCGAAAAGCCGGGATTTTTGGACCGTGGAGCACATGATTGCTCTCATCCGGGCAAAAAGAGACCAGGATTCACATCTTGCCGGCCTCGCGCACACCACAGGAAGGATGAAGACGAAGACATGGAAGTGGGACGACGTGGAGAAGAGGCTGGTGCAAATGGGGGTGACGAGTAGAAAGGCCGTCAATTGCGGGAAGAAATGGGACAACCTGTACCAGCAATTCAAAACCGTGCACAAGTTTATGGGAGAATCGGGGAAGCCAAATTTCTTCACACTAACGCCAGGCGAGAGGAAGGAGCGGGGGTTCGATTTCCAGATGGATGAGGGTGTGTATTCGGAGATGGCGGTGATGACCAGGAGCGATCACACCATACACCCCACCAATCTCGCCGACACCGGTCCACGAGGGGAGCGGGGATGGACAGGACGACGATCAAGGGTCCACGAGGGATTCTATCAGCGGCAGTGGTGTTGTCGGGGGCAGCAAACGGAAGAATGTGAGACAACAGACCTTCGACACGATTGCAGACGTGATGAAGGAGCACGGGAGTCTGATGGCGACAACCGTGGACGGCGCGAGCAAGAGACAGTGCTCACTTCTGACTAGGCAGTGCGACATTTTGGAGCGAGAGGTTGAAGTGCAGAAGGAACTCTACGTTAAGGCCGACGAGGCGAACTTGATGATGTGCGAAGCACTTATGGAGATTGCTAAAGCGATCCGCGAGCGATCGTGACGTCTCCCCGCCACGCGTGCCATTATTGTCCTGCGTGCTGCAGTGACGAGATGTGCAGGTTGTGTACAGACGGCTGCCAGTGGTTGTTTTTTGGCCGCACGGCTAATTTTATTTTTTAAGTATGCATTTATTTGACGATTTCATTGTAGAATGGGTATGATTGCTTTCATGCCCCGCGGCGCGTCCTTCGATGTTACACTACGTCGTCTAATTATAGAATATTACGACTGTTGTAGTGAGGCGTCGCCGGCACGCATGGATGGTGAACTCCGGGGGTTTCGGAGAAGGGTGTGATTTTCGGGCGGGAGGGGGTCGTTGGTTTGGCGGGCTTTTTCGACCTCCGCCAGGGTCCTTCTGCGCGCCCACTTTCGATGTCGGCCATGCGAGGGATGACATGCGCAAACGGACCATGGGCGAGCGACGAAGGGGTGGGCTGTAGTGGACGGGGACTCGAGTCCACGGTGTACTTTCACATCGCAATACGTAGAAAAAGGACATTTCGCCCACCATTCCGTACCGCAGTGGTTCCTTAGCCACGGTTCCCTCTCGCACCGTCTGCCTACCTGCTCGTCGTTGCGCGCCTGCAACTCCGCTTCGCCGCTCCACGCTCCCGCATCGCGCTGCGCGGACAATGCCACTTCATGCGCATCAAACAAGTGGTCCTGCCTCTCCGTCGCAAGAGCTGTCCTCTTCGCCCACGTGCCGCGCTTCAAGGACTTGAACGTCGCCTTTGTCCACGTGCTCCTTCGTCGACGTCATCGTTCGTGGACGTGCTCCTTTGCCAACGTGTTTCGTCGTCCGCGATCTCCATTTCCGTCGCCATCATCGTCGCGGCTCCACGACCACTGCTCCGTCATCTGCATCATCCACGTCTTCCTCCGTCCATGTGGAAGCACTGGGAAGCAGTCAGGCGTCCTTCTTCCGCGCGCTCTTTCGTCGACGGCAGCCTTCGTTTACCAAGTCATTGATTCCGATTTGCGGACCAGATGCCCCCACGGGGCGCCTCTGCGAGGGGCAGGAAAGATGGCGGGGGGGGCGACGGTGGGGAAACCAACAAAGGCAGAGGCCACATACCGAAGTCGAAAAGGCAGCGCATCAATGACGCCAGCTCCTCACAAACTGATGACTTCCTCGCTGACGAAGTGGCTATGGTGGACGCGCAAGGGACGGAAGGGGTCGCGAGGTTGGGTTTCGGGCGGGATGGAGTGGCGAGGGAGCAGCTGCAAGCACTGAAACGCAGCGTTGTTGGCGGTGCTGTCGGGATGGTGCCAAGGACCCCAAACACGGCAGGGGTTGTCGTCACGGGCGCGCGGGTCCCGGGACAACTTTCGTCGGCGGCAGGCCAAGGTCAGCCACGTCAGCCACTCCCCCTGCAACACGTGTTGGCATCAGGGGGAGGGCACATGGTGACCGCGCAAAAGGGCGACGCGACGGCTAGCGCTAGTCAGGCGGCGGCGGCAGATCACACAGCTAAAGGCGGGGTCGTCGAAGGTGCGGAAAGGGGGGGGTCGAAGACGTTGGCCGTGACGATGGCCGAAGAGACGGAAAGCGGGAAGGCAACGACGGCGACGACCGTCCACTTCTGCCGAGGGGGAAGGGAGCACCGAAGGGGGACGACCTGGAAGAGAAGGCCAAGTTGTGGGTTGATTGCGACGCTTTCTGGGGTCAGGGTCCCGGGAAACCTCTGAGGGAGGCGGTAGGCGAATGCACCGACTACTTCGTCGCCATCGCCAACGGAGACGCAGGAGTTGAGCCGCCGTCGATGCTCATCATGCCGCCGAATGACGTGCCGCGCTTCAAGATCGACGACCCGGCGCAGCGTGATCCGGCTCTCCRCAGAGCGCGCAGCGTGGAGAGAGTAGTGYTGYGCACCATCCACGGTTGGATCTTTAAATCGCAGTCGAGGTCGACTGGCTTCTCTCGTGCAGAGTCCTACATCACCGTCGACTTCGCCACGGACCTCGCACGAGCAGTTTGGCAGGCCTTGGAATGGTCGAGAGTGGTATCCCCTGCACCTGTCTACCACACGTTGGCGATGAAGATGGACGTGCCTCTATGGTTCGCGGGGGTGAAGATTGAGGACCGCCCGGAAGACGACGACATGGCAACGCGTCAGGAGGCGACAGTTCTTCTGTTGGCGGAGTGCTGGACAGATGCGATCTGGTGCGGACAGTGGGCGGATGGCGGGCGCGTAAAACAGGAGAGGTTGTCCAGGCTGGCGGACAGTCTGCGAGCGTTGTTGTGCGCGGTCATGTGGATCATGCGCATGGGAGGTGACAACGACCGATCGGATTACGAGGCATGGTCGTACGCGTCCATGATCGCGAAACCGATGATGATAGCGGCGGGGTCGTACATCTTCAACTGGCGCCGACACGTGGTGGACTCCGCCAACCTCGTCCTCGATTGTCTAGGGAAGGCCCACCTGACGATGGGAGATTACCCGCAATGCATTCTGGAATGGTGTGATTGCGGGTTGGCGTTCGGGCACAACGCTGCCCTGAAGAACGCAGCGGAGGCCGCAAAACACGGGTGGATCGGCAGCGGGCCCCCGACGGATGACGATGGAGATGATGGCAAGTGACACGTCATCTCGAGCAGATGGCAGCGGGTTGGTTCGCATCGTCGGCGCTTCGTCGACGGTGGTGACGAGAGGAGGAAGTGTGCGCCTTCAAGTGGACACGGTAGCGCAGAGGCGGGAAGGGTGTTGCCAGGTGCTGGGGGTGGGGGGTGTGGCAAATAGGTGAGGTGGCAGGTCCTGCGCAGCAGTCTGTCAAGGCGGAGGTGCAGAAAGATCTCTCACCACGTCGGCATATGGCTCTGTATTGGGTGTGTTGAGAGCGGCTCCTGTGTTTTTTTTTTTTTTTTTTTTTTTTTTTTTCATGTAGTCTTTTAGGAATTGGAGCACACTTTCTAGTCGTGCTCCACAAAAGGGTTTGTTAATCATCGGGGTGACACGTGGGAGCACTGCGCAAACGGCAAGATAAGTTCGTCCTTCGTGGTTCGCGATTGGAGGGTGGATAGTGGGGAGGGAGTGTGGATAGGTAGGAGAAAAGTCGGTCACCGCCACAACTTTTTCTGTACTTCAACGGATTTTATGCAATCATTTCTGTTTCTATGTGAACGTCGTGTGGCTGTATGCTTCTTATTGCTCAGCCACTGCTACTTTTCTTCTGTTGTATGCGGGTTTATCGTTCACGATAATCGTTAATGATTGTCTGAATCGCGTCCACAGCTTCTATTCTCATGCTCTTGTTATTCCTCATCGCCATGTCGTCCACAACTTCTGTTCATGTTGAACACCACAGATAAAGGGGAAGAAAAGAAAAAAAAACGAAAACAAACAATGGACGAACCCATCAAAAAAATCACAAGAGAGTTGTCAACCATTTCCCAGAATATGAACCCATCACGAGAAAACTGTTTGTTGATTACATTTCATTCCATGCACGTGGTCCTCATCAGTTCAACATTGAAGCTTCACCAACAGCATCAACCAAACGCCGAGTATTGCAGCGACATGCATCACAGACGCTACATGTGGTGGACAGAGAACACGTGCCATCAAAAGACGGACAGCAGGATGACGCACGACGGCGACCTCACACAAATAAATAAATAAATACAAATATCTTATAATTTGAAGCAAAACAGCGATCCAAAGCACATGCGAAATAGAGGGGTGTCGAGCTGCTCCGTGCCGCCACCCAACAAGCACCAAAAACCCCCCCCCCCCCCCCCCTCACATTTCCCATCCCCATGCCCACGCATTTGCGCGGGAACACTGCCGCGGCAAGGACGACATCAATGAACAACGAAAAAAAAATAACAGCGATGTCACTGCCGATCACCACGGCAATTGAGCCGCTTCACTGCCAAGCACCCACAACCTGGAGAAGCACACTACCGTCAACTACAACAACAAACACCTACAAACGAGTCGTCCGCCTACTGCAAACCCTGCGAGCTAACTCCATGTCATCGTTCGCGACTCCACGACGGACGCACACGGCTTCTGTTTGTGTACGTGAGGCAGAGTGGCGCGACACGCACGATCAAATGTGTTTCATTCGCTCCGCTAGGGCATTGCGGAGCGTGTGTGCGGCGTCCGTCGATGTCAGCATCGTCACTGGCTGTAGTGGACGATGCATCCCCAGGTCCACTCGCCGCCTCACCCCGTTCTCGTCGACCTCCCACAACAAGTTTTTGTCGAACTCGATTCCGGCATCGAGCAGGATGTTGTGGAGAATGCAGACGGCCGTGAACTGCTGCGGTAGAGTGTCCAAGTTCGTCTTGTGCGACCGAAGGAAGAACCTCCACATCCCCTTCAACCTCCCGAACGCCCTCTCCACAGCACCTCTAGCGGCCTTTTGTTTGTTGTCGAACCTTTCCTCGTCCGGGTGCTGATTGATTCCTCCGTACGGCACCACTATCCATTCTGAAGGAGGATACCCGTTGTCGCCCAAGATGTATCCGTTCGTCCTCACCCCTCCCGACAGCGTTACAGGCGGCCCGCGAAAAAGCGTTCCCTCTTCCGCGCGCCTCAACAGACTTGACAGCTGGATCACCCAAATGTCGTGGCAGCTGCCCGGGTAGCCAACGAAGACGTCAAGCACACGCAGATCCAGGTCCACCACCACCTGCGCAATGACGGAGAAACGGTGCTTGCGGTCGAAGTAGTTCTCGCTCGGAGCGTTCGCCAGTTTGTCCACGTAGATGTGTGTGCAGTCAACTGCGCCATGGCAGTTGGGAAAGCCCTTGTCCTGAAACGCCCGTAGCACCACCTGTTTACGCACCCCCGTCGGCCACGATATCCTGTCCCCGTAGACCCTCAACAACGCGGCTGTCACATCGCGCACGGCTCGAACTCCGGATGATCTGCCAATGCCGAAAGATGATGTGCTGTTGTCGTACGACTCTCCTGTTGCCCACCTATACAGCGCGTCCACTGCCACCCACCTGCGCGAATGAACTTCCGCGACGACGACCGAAGACGCCTACGACGAGGTGTGGAAGACAGGCGTGATGACAAAAATTACACGGCGATGGGAGCGTTCGTCCTCCATCCCTGAACCACGGAAGCGCCGCTCGCATGCACGTGGCGAGCGTGCCTGCGACGAACACATTACACACGATGGCGGCGCGGTGCCGTTGAAGTACGAAACGCGACGTCAAGCCTGCGCTCTCATCCCCCAGTCGACGTGCTCTTCCGCCTGTGCGCTGCCACACCGTCGTTCCGCGCGGAGCAAATTCTAATTTCGGGCCCGTTCCCGCGTTCGCAATTTTATTTTCCACGGCCCGTGACGTATTGCCGCCGTCCGGCTGGTGGACCACCGCGCCTCGCACACGGACATCCCGAATCGGAGGTCGGACAACACCCTCGCGGCCGTCTATAATCTCATGAAAATGGCCGCGGGACGGCCCCGAGGATGCATCCTCGGGGCTACTCTCCGAGGACAGGTGGAACGACACCTCCAAAAAAAAAAAAAAAACTCCGAGGATTCGTCCTCGGAGCTCGAGGACACTCCGAGGAGTGTCGAACGACGCCCTATGATTCGGATATGCGCTTGGCTCCACTACTCACCACATGCAGAAACGACAAAAAAGATGGCGGCGCCATATCTATCTTCCCTTGTTCTACCTGAAGGTTCATTCTCATTTTGCACATTTGGTGAGTTGTGGAGCCCTATATTGGCTGGCCCCAGTCTCGCTACAAAGTCGAAGTAGAAAGAGACCCCTGCCTGTCGTTTGGGGCAAAATTGTCTATACAAGGTCATTTGCGGCAAATTTCATTCTCCATACAGCTATATTGACCCCTGCCTGTCGTTTGGGGCACATTTCAGTCTAGATGTAAGGTCATTTGCGTCAAATTTCATTCTAGAAACAACGATAACGACGGTTCGTTCTAATTAGGGGTCCGGAAGAAAAGAGGGTCCTGTGATCCTGAAAGGGAAAAGCGAAATGGATACCACGGTCTGCTTTCACCCATCACCACATGAGGCTGATACGCTGGCATTGAGACGACCTTGCTACTGTGTGAACCAAGCGGCACAGAGTGCCTGCGAAGCAACCGTCCCTGCCACCTCAGATTCAGTGCCTATGAGCCTCGCTCCACTACTCTCGACATGCACAAAAGACAAAACAACGCATGTGTATCTTCCCATCTTCTAGCGAAAGGTTCATTCTCATTCTGGGCATTTCATGAGTAGTGGAGTGACAACCTATGTCTATTGGTCGGAAACAACCACCTGCCTGGAGGCCGCCGGTCACTTGAGCAGACGAGGACAAAAAGAGCCAGCCAGACGGAAAAAGCAAAAACACGACACGCACACATAAATTGAGAAATGGTCCAAGTATGGGAAAAAAAAAAAAAAAACAGGCTGCTAGTGGGACCTGGCTCCGGGAAAGAAGTCCGACCTGCATAAACACTGGCCGTCGATCTTGGTCACCTACGAACAGTTTTTTTTTTTTTTGGTGGTGCAGGGGGGGGGGGGGAGGCGGGAGGGGGGGGGGGGGGGGGGTTTTGTGTGTTATGAG